TAAGAGAATAATAACTTAAAATTCCAAGTTTTTTATAAATTTCAGACAAATCTTTGTTTTTTTCTCCAATATTTTTTCTACATTCTTCACAAGTTTTTTTGATATTTTTAACAAAGATAGATTTGTGAGTTTTGTATTTTTGTGACCTAGGTTTTGGATCTTCAAATCCAAGATGTTCATTCAAAATTTTCCAAAAAACGTGAGTATCAAGAACTCTTTGCCAATCTCTGCAAACAAGAGAAGCATTATGAAAAGTATGTGGATCATCGATATAATTAAAGACTAAACTAATTGGATGAATTTTAGTTTCTTCATTTTTGATTCTTTTAATATTAGATTTTTGAAATTTAGAATTTTTACGTTTCATTTTTTTTAGTTAACTAAAGAAATTTTTTTATTATTTATAAAAAATTTTAATTTAATAATAAATAAATTATAAGTCTAACTCCCATTTAAAAAAATTACAATTAATACGCACTGGTAAAGGACATACATAATAATTACGATCTAAATTATTACTATTAATATTAGTAACTTTTTTTCTATTTGCTACTTCATTACAATAGCATCTTACTACTTCCCATTCAAAAAAATTACATTCAGAATTCTGACATATATAATATATTCTACCTTCATTATAATTTTTTTTTTTTACTTTTCTTCTAACTACCTTTTCTTCACATAAACATTCGATTTCTTTATCACTATCAGTTTCTTCATCAGTTTCTTCATCGTTATTTTTTTCAATTTTTAATTTAGATTTTAAAAAATACTGTTTACAATTAATATATTTAAAAAAAATTCTTAAATCAGTATTATAATATTCTATATTTTCAAAACTCTCTGCAACTTCTTGTAATATAGAAGAATAAATTATATTTTTCCAAAATCCTCCTTTTTGATATAATAATAAATTGATACCAAAAATTATAGAAAACTCTTCATTAAATTTTATAGTAAATAATCGATTGATTATTTTTGAAGATAATAATATATTTTTTATGATTTTCATAGGATGAAATTTATTATTTTTTCGTATCTTATGTTCAATATCAAATTTGAATAAATCAAAAATAATATTAGAAAGAACATATAAAATTAATTCATTTGGAAAAAATCTTTTAAAATTATGTTTTCTTCTTTTTTTTCTTATCATTTTTTTTTTTAATTTTATTTTTTTTTTTTATTTTGTTAAAAAAGATAAAGTTATTTATATAAAATTAATATTGTAGAATTCATTATTTATTTAAATAATTTTTTAACTTAAAAAAAAAATAAATTTATACATTTAGTTAAGATTCTCTTTACGTTTTATTTTTTTTTTTATATATTAATTTAAAGTACTTTAATAATCTTGTTCTTATTGGTATTTATATGAACCAGTAAGATTATTTTGATAATAAAAACTAGTTTAATATTTTTAATTATAACATATTTGGTTTTATTATTTTTTAAAAAAAAATATTATTTAAAGATACAAATGAACGTAAAGAAGACTTTAATTACATTTGTAATTTTAAAACACAACTTTACAATTTTACAACTTTAAAACTATATACAAAAATGTCTTTAAAAAAACTTTTCTTCAACAAAAAATCAAAGAAACAAACTGTTGAATCTGTTGTTCAACTTGAAGAAATGGAAGTTGTTCAAAAAGAACATAAAAAAAAAAGAAATTCCAACTATCTATACAGAAGATTGGGATGATATTATTAAAGAAGGAGATAATTCAGAATGGGAAAACCCTAATGAACAATCTACTTCGTTGACCTCCAGTCAAGAAAATCTTTCTCAACCAGAAGCCAATGAAGAAAATTCTTCTTCAAATTCTGGTTCTACATTAACTGAGAATAATTCAGTTAATAAAAAATATTTGTTAGAATTAATATTATTAATATTAATTCTTGTATCTTCTCTCTTTTCTGTAATTTTTGTTTGGATTTTTAGTCTTCTTCTATTATATAGAACAAGATTTTTGTTATTAAAATTAAAACTTGCAGAAGGAGATTACATTAAAGAAGTTAATCCATTTGAAATTATGTTTAGTCAAACTTCAATCAATAACATATTTCAGATGGGTAACGATATAGAAAATACTATCAATGATCTTGTTGATAGTAAAGTAAAAATAGAAAATTTTCCTATGATACAAGTTTGTATTATAGAAGATATTTTTTACTCATCTGATAACAGGAGATTATATTGCTTTCAAGAAGCTATTCGAAGAGGATTAAATATTAAAAAGATATCTGTAAAAGTTAGACGAGTATCAGATATTAATATCAGATGGAAATTACAGGGCTCATTTAAAATTGTTCAAAATAATAATTTTAAAAATATTATCATAAGTCCCTTTGCGAAGAATGGAAGAGTTATTGATGGAGAAGGATTTTGGGACTATAGAGAATGAATATTTTTTTTTGTTTTTTTTATACTTATTTTTTATTATACTTGTATATATTTTAAAATAAATCTGTATATATTAAAATAAAAACCTATATTAGTCAATAATAACAAATACGCAGCTAAAAAAAATTATTATAAAATTATTTATATTGTTTATTATATTTATTTATATTAAATATTATATTTGATATTATAAAATTTATTTATTTATGTATTGTAAATTATAAAATTTAATTTAATAATTTAAATAAATAATTTAATAAGTTGGTTGTATCAATTTATGAACGGGTGAATATCTAATTTGACCATTTCTACTTATATGTTCTACAAAAATTCCTTCAGGATATCGTTTACATATTTTACCATTTTTGTTTAATATACGTTCATATCTTCCTTTCTTAGAATTAAAAGTAACTAGAGTATCAACTATCGATCCTGGTAAAGCTGCAACTGGAGTTGTTTTAGAAATTTTATTTCTACTTCTTGTTCGTGGACTTTTAATTCTGCCTCATTTTTGAACTGATTTTGTAGTAGTACGTGGTTTTTTTGTTCTTACAGCTTCATTTGATATGATAAAAAATATCAACAACAATAATAATAAAAATTTAAATCGCATTTTTTTTTCTTTTCATATTTAGTTTGAAGTAGTTATTTATAAAAAAATCTATTGTTTATTTTCTTTTAAAGCTTGTAAAAAAGCTTTCCAAAGATCATTTCTATTTTTTTTAAACCAAATATACTCATTTAAATAATTTTGAATAACATTTTTGTTTCTATTTCTTTCTTTTAAATTTACTTTAATTGAATTCCAAGAACCTTCAATAGATAATGTATGTATTTTTCGAATTTTTTGTCTAAGATTTTCTTTTGAGTGATTTA